AGGGCGGCCCCGGGGAGGGCCCGGCCTGAGGCAGCGGGGGGAGCCCGGGGATGGATCCCCCGCTCCTCTCGGTGCCGCCGCGGTGCTCGGCAGGTCCGCTGGGAATCGCCCCCGGGTTGTGCCCGTAGGTGCAGCAGGACTCGGTCCCCGGTCCCCCAGGTGCACCCACCGCCCTCCCCAGCCCGGTTCCAGCCCAGCCGGGCCGGCATGGTGTGAGCAGGACGCAGGGGCTGCACTGGCACTGCGTGAATGCTCGGGGGTGCTGCCACCAGCTCACCCGGGTGCCCCTGCAGCTCTTTTTAAATGCCCATGCAGCTCTCACCCAGGTATCCATTTATCTCTCACTCAGGTGCCGATACAGCTCTCAACCAAATGCCCATGCAGCTCTCATCTTGCTGCCTGTGCTGCTGTCCCCCAGTTGCCTGTACAGCTCTCAGCCGTGTGTCCATTTGTGTCTCACCCAGGTGCCCATGCCGCTGTCACCTGGGTGCCCATGCAGTTGTCACCTGGGTGTCCATCTATGTCTCACCTGGGTGTTCATGCAGATATCACCTGGGTGCCCATGCAGCTGTCACCCAGGTGTCCATGCAGCTGTCACCTGGATGTCCATTTATGTCTCACCTGGGTGTCCATGCCACTGTCACCTGTGTGTCCATGCAGCTCTCACCCAGCTGCCCATGCTGTTGCCACCCTCCCTGACTCTGGGGCTGTGATCAAGCGGGCACCGCTTGCCGCGGTCATTGATCCCCCACCGTGGGGAGGTGGGGGCAAAGTTGAATGTTCTGTGCCTGTTACGTGGCTGTCCCAGCAGCTCACAGAGACAGCTCATCCCTTTAGGGCTCCCCTTTTATCCCGAAAAGCACACGCCAGGCACAGGCCAATCTGCCTCCCGCTGGCAGCCGCGAATTTGTTGAGCAGGAAAAAAGAAGGTGAGTGCGATGTTCACGATGGAGCCTGCCAGGAGTTAGTAGGTCAAGAAGCTTTTGTTCAGCCCGTGCTAGCACTGTGCTCAGCACCGTACAAAACGAGAGGAAAGAAGCTGTCCTGGTCCCACGGGATTGCCATTGAAGCGGGATTAGACAGTTCGGCCCCGGTGCCAGCAGCAGCTTGGGTTGTGGTTTGACAATTTGGAGGGACGAGGTCTGGTGGGGAAGGGCTGCTCGGGGGTGAAGGAGAGAGGCTGTGGAGGTGGGAATAGGGGGAAATGGGTCTGGATCAGGCCATGGGGGCTGTTCCCGTTGTTCCCTGCCAGCACCCATGTCCCCAGGGCTCGGATGAAGGAGCCTGGAGGATCTGTGGCAGTGGTGGTTTGAGGGCAGCTGTGGATTCCCATGAGGATCCTCTCTTTCCCCAGGGCTGTACAGTCTTTGCTCCTGCACTTTGCACCTTGGGCAGTCATGGCTGGGCAGGAGGTGCTTGGAGTGACTGGATATGCCCTGGACCAGCATGGGAGGTGTTCCCACAGCCATTTCTCTGGGCTAGGAGAGGTGCTGGATTTACCAGCCCCATTCCACAGATGACACTGTGGTTCTGGTTCTTTCCAAGAGCCTGTGAGGAGCCAGTGGGAATTTCTCTCCTGGACAGGCAAGGTGGAGCCAGTAACTTTTTGAGCTGTGTCTGTCCCCTGGCATCCAAAGGACTTGCAAACACAGCTGTGTGGGGGAAGCAAGAACCTTCCACGCCTCGGTGTTGTCTTGGTTTTGTTTCAAGTGAGGGCTGGGCTGTTTTGATTTTTGTTTTCAAAGGTTATGACCAAAAAAAAGAAAAGATACTGGCTGTTATTCATCCAAATACCAGTACAGGGAGAGGGAGTGAAGAGGGAGAAGCAGCATGGCTTACTGCACGTAAAAATGCTGACAATGTCAGGGAGCCGTCTTGGGAAAAATCTCTCTTTCTTAAAAGGAGAACTGCAAGTTTTAAGGGGTTTTGTTGTTGTCATTAAGACCGGAAATTCTTTCGCAGCTCCTTATAGTGCAAATGCATTCCCCCTTGCTGTGGAGGGGTTTGCATCACTGTGATTTTATGGGAGACAAGTTTGAAGCTGACACAGTTCCTTGCCAGGGGGTTCCATGCAGACCAGCATCCTTGGGACAGTCCTGATGAGCTGAGATGCTGTGGAATGGTGCTTCCTCTCCTAAAACACTCATGAGCTGGCAGCTGAGGGCTGGTGCTCATCCTCAGAGCAGCATTGTCACCTCTATCCCTCTGTCCTTTTGGGCATCCCAGAGAGCCCAGTGCCCCTGAGGTTTCGGGGCACAGCTTGGAGAAGCCCCCATCCTTCTTTTGGGCTTTGCACCCTGACATAGAGCTTTGAAAACTGTAACAAGACGCTGTTTAGAGCTAGTAAAAGGTTCATTGACCCTTGGGGCAGCTGGTGGGTTTGGTTCGAGGTGAAATGTCCCTGTGGGATCCTGCACTGCAGTAACCATCCCTTCTTCCACAGGTGGATGTGGCAGCCATGGTGTGGCTCTTTGGCTATGTGGATGTGACTGACACTGGTTTCATGGTGGCCGTCCTCTCAATCGCCTTCAACCCTCTCTTCTGGAATGTGGTAAGAACTGCCTTTGTGCCAGCTCCTTTACTCTCAGCCTTCCTTTCCCAGCTTCCTTTGGGAGGAAAAAACCTCTCTTGGGAAGTCTGCTGGGCTGAGTGGGGGGAACTGTGCTCAGCTAGACCTTAGGAGTGGGTGATCAGGAGCTGTGCTGGAGCTCCTGGGGCTGAGGGTGACTGTGAGGGCTGTCACAGAGAAGGTGAAGGTGGAAGCCAGCACAGGATCCAGAAGGAACTGGGAGCTGAGCTTGGGAGAGGGAGCAGAGCAATGAAACCCATTCTTCAGCCACATGTCCCACCCAGCAGCCAGGCACTGCTCACTACTGGGACTGAGCATGAATGGCATTAATCCCCATCAGGGTGACTGCACTGGATATGTTGCCTGCTGCTTCCCCTTGAAATGCGTTGGCAGCTGTTTGTGTGGATGGCAGGAAGCAAAAACAGTCAGCCAAAAGTTGGCCTGAAAAAATTCCTCCTCCATCATGCTGCAAAGCCTGGCAGAGAGCTGCAGGGCTGGCAGCAAGCCAGCCCTAGGAGGAGCAGGATACCTGTGCATGGGTGATGTTTGCTGTGGGTGCCACAGTGCTTTGGGAGCCAAGGCTGGAGAAACCCCCACTGCCTGTTACTGCTGGATTCACTGCCTTCTTGCAAAACCAGCAGGAGTCATTGCTAGTAGCTGTGTCGTGGAGCATTCCAGAGCCAATGTGCTGAGCAGGAAGCCCAGGCTGGCTGCAGGACGAGGTGACTCCCACCCTGCAGCACCCTCAGCAGCACAGCTGAGGCGTGGAATGAAACATCCCTGTTGAGCGCTCCTGGGAATGGGATGTCATCTCAGCCATGATTCCCAAATCCGCCTGCCAAACCTCCTTGCAGGGTTTCTCTCCCTGGAGAATTCTCCTTAGAAAGGCCTTATTTTTCCAGAGGGGGAGGACTCCTCTCTCTCTGAGTGCGGGGGCTCTTGAAATTGTCTCACGCTGGGCTTTGGAAAAGGGAGGATCTACTGGCTGTGAGTCACTTTGGAAACCTCTGTCGGAGCTCTTTGTTGCAGCCTCCCTAATTTTTCATGCAACTCGTTATTAAAAAGTCTCACGGTGTCTGAAATGCGAGCTGGAATATGCCACATTATTTCGACTGTGGAGTCATCATTTAGCATAAAGAATCAATGAGCAAGAAGATTCAGGATGTGGTCTCTGGGGGGAGAGACTGGCTCCAGCGAGAAACTGCATGAAAGGCAAAGAAAAAAAAGTTCTTTTATTAGCATCTGCTGCTATGCCTGCAACTAGTGGGATGCCTGCAGCTTGGGAAATAATGTTGCTTTCTGGAGCAGGAGTTTGGCTGCTGTTAAAGCACAGGGAAAGCTGATGTAAGAGCAGAAGTTTGTTGTTCTGCGCTGCTGTTGTCCCTTCGCAGGGACTGGAGAGCGGCACGGTTGGCAGCAGGTGGCACTCCAAGCCAGACGTGCAGGGCTGTGCCTGGGAGCAGGAGGTTTGAGTGAGCAGCCTGAGCTGGCTGTTGGGGAAAGCTCTGAGTGTGGAATTCTGTGTTTCCCTGGCTGGAACGGGCCGGGAGGATCTTGCAGTCCTTGTTCCTCCATCCTTGCTCTGCTCAAGCCCCCGAGCATCTCTCTGGTGTTTTCAGTGCCAGTGTGTGCCTCACACCAGGCAATGCTGGAAGACTGGGTCCTGCAGCCCTAAACAAGCCCCCACTGTTGGGCACATTTCAGCAAGAGTGGCCCTGGCTATCCTTGGATTTTCCCTGACCTGCTTCCTTTACCTCCTCCCCATCCTTTTATCCATGTGCTCATTGTCCCCTCCCTGCACCCAGCCAGCAGCTCTTCTTTCTTTCCCTACATCTCTGCACAGACACTCTCTGTCCTTGGCTGTTTGAGTTCCTTCCCAGCAGCTGAGATTGCTTCTGAATCTGAATTACTCTGGGTTTCCAAGAGCTTCAGTGTAAAGACTGGAATTCTGCACAGTGCCAAGCACTCTTTGCTCTCTCTGCTCAATAACTGATGTGGGATGCTGGTCAAAATCTCTCCTGTGCATGAAATTCCTGATTTGGATACAAATTGGGTGGTGATGTATTGATTTAGTTCAGTGTCTTAATTCCCTGTTTCTGCTGAACTCCAGCCAGGTCTGCCTCTTCCAAAGTTTGTGCTGGGTTGTTCTTGCTGTGCTGTGCTTCTGAATAAAAATGTGGTGGGGAAACCCTGGCTTCTTAGTGCTTGGATGGAGAAGTACAACCAGGCATATTTCTCTAGAACAAAACCTATAGAGTTTGGGGATGAAGCACAAACTCTGGAGGCTGTGGAGGAGTGTGGCCTCCAGAGAAAAACGTGATGCTTGTCAGGTCAGTGGATGTACTTTGGCTAAGAGCAATTTTGAGGACCAGAGCCTAAATGGGGCAATTTGCAGACTCCAGCTGGGCTGTGCTGATGCTCCCTCCTGTTCTCTACAGGGGAGAAAAGCTCTTTCAGAACGTCTCAGGATTTGAAATTCCTACCTTCCTCCCTGCAGGCATGTGCTGGAGGGTGCTGGAAATGTCTCCCCAGGGCCACCTACTACATTTCCTCACCAAACCCTGGGCTTGCACCCCCTCTTCTACTTCCACCCCCTTCAAGCCAGTTGAAATCCTGCCTATCCCTGGACAGGTTATATTGTCCATGGCACAGCCTGAATGTGTTCCCGCACTATTCTCTAATTTTTCCCATATTTTTTCCTCTCTCCTGCTCGGGCTGTCTCTGCTTTCCCACCCACCTTGTCTGTTAAGAGAGGAGCTGCTGGGAGCTGTGGTCCCACAGGAGGCAGGGTGCAGATGAGCTCTCAAAAGGAAGCAGAGGAGCTGTTTTGGGAATTGAATCACTTAAAAACTCCCCAGGGATATTCAGTGCAGCCAGGAGAGCTGAGCCACCATGGGGCTGTAGAGGGGCACCCAGCAAGGAGCAGGCACATCTCTGGAACTGTGCCATAAAATGTTAATGAGGCCAGAGCAGCAGGAACTTCAATAAATCCCATCTGTGCTTGGAAAGCTGCAGAACGATGGGAGAAACTTCTCATCCCTTGGTAACCAAGGAAGGCATTAAATGAAAACTCCTCAGGGACAAACATTTTCAAACCAAGAGAGGCAGATAACCTGCATGCAGGAGGCTCTAAAGAGCTGTCTGAGCCTTGGCACACGAGGACTTTCTAGAAAGCTGGAAGGTTTCTGTCCCTCTCAGTAGCAGCCAGGCATAGCCATGAGGCCAGCAGTCTGACGTCCATCACCACGCAAGTGAGTTTTAAGTGGGGAGTGCATCCATCAGCAATCTTTTCTTGATTTGAGCCTCTTAAAAATTTAGGTCTGGCGTCATGGACCGATTTAGAAATGGCTCATCTTCAGCTGGCGCCCCAGAGCTCACTCCTCCCATCACCTCCGGTCATCCTCTTGAGACACCCGTGTGTCTCACAGGAATCTGCAGGGTGAAACCTCAAATGTCACAGCTAGGAACAGGCTTGGCATAATTTAGTGTGATTTTAAAGAAATAGACCCCATCAGACAGTGATTTTATTTTTCAAGGTTGCAGCTTTTGCTGTTCAGGGTAACACAGTCTCTGTTCTAGACTTCTGTCAAGCGTTTAAGCTGCATGAGGTTTTGATTAAAGAAGTAGTTGCTCAGGGACCTGGGCTGACAACGCCTGGCTCCTGATGGATGTGTATCTCTTGGTTCATTTATTTTTAATTTCCCATCCTTTTCTCCTTCTTTGGAGACTGAAGGAATCTGCCTAGTGGGTAAGAAGTGTTTGCACTGGAAAGGAGGGGGGAGATTGCAGGCACTGGCAGTCTGATTTCACCTACCTCTGACCACTTCTTGCTCAACTCAGAGGAAGGTGCCTGGCCCAAAACATCCCCATGCTGCTGGGAAGGAAATGGAAGCTCAGGAGTTGTCTGGATTCAGACCTCAGTGAGCCAAAGTCTGAGAAACCTTTTGGGGACAGGAGAAAAAAGCCTGATGCTGGGAGATTTCAGCAGCTCTCGCTGCCTCTTAGAGAAGGAAAAGATTGAGCTGTGGCTTGAAGGTGGTGTGTCAGCACCTCGGTGGGGAAAGGAAATTTCAGGGTATAAAATAACTGTGGAAGGCTGGGATGGCAGCAGAGCCTTGCAGGGAGTGCACTTCAGTTGCCTGAAGTTTACAGGATTGGGAGATGAATGAGTTGGGATGATTAAATATTTTTTTTCTGGCCTTCAAATTCTGTCAACTTGTGAGACTTTTGTGGGCTCCCCCACAAACCTCTGCCTTCCTACAGCTGCAGGGGAGAGCAGAAAACAGCCCTCAACCAGCTTCTGGAAAGTGCTTTTAGACCCCATCATATAAGCCATGGCACAGTGGCGATGATTATCTGCTTATAACAGATGCTAGATCAATAGCGGGGCTTCAAGCTACGCTGCAAGGCAATTGACTGCAGAAAGTGTTTCTTTATTGGGGTAAAGCTGGGCTTGCAACGAGGCTCAGATCCGCTCTTACATCTCCGGTCTTAAAATGTCACCACCAGCTCTGATGCCTTTCATCCTTTGTGCAGGGAGAGAACGCGCATTATTCATAATTGGACTCTCTACCAGGCAGCAATAGCCATTTTCATTTCCTACAATAGCTGAGAAAGAGTGAGGATTTGCCTTTTTTTTTTTTTCCCCCATCTCCCAAATAGCATTTAGTGGCAATTTTATTCCAAGTGACTTGGTAACGCTTTCACTCCGGCAGCGAGGGCTTCGCAGCGCTGCTGTAACGCGTGGAAGCGGATGGCATCGATTCTCCAGCTCTCGTAACAGAGCCAGTCCTGCCTGGGTGTGTAACACCAGGACTGTTTGTCTCCTAAATTTAGCTTTTCCAGTGTGTTGGCACAGCTGCCAGCCACATAACGAGCACCAAAACTGGGTCGCACCCTCCGGCGTGTCGGCTGGAGCGGCACAATTAGGAGTGCTGTCACCTTGAGGGAGAGCCACATCCTTCGTCCCAGCACTGCTTCCC